GCCGGGGCGGCGGGCAGCGCGCCCCTCCGGGGCCGGGAGGCGGAGGCCCGGGCACGCCCGAGGAGGGACGGTTGGCACAGGGCCGGCCGCGGACAGGCTGCTGTCCTGCCCCACCTGCACCTAAATTCGCCCCGCTTCTACAGCGTGGGGTGCGCAGGAGATGTCACCCTCCAACACGAAGGACAACCGCGGCGCGGCGGCGTTTTGGCTCCCGGGCAGTGGAAGCTGCCCCGGGGCCGCGTGTGCCCGAGCAGACTGCGGGCGGGGCAGCTGTCGCGGACACGGCCTCCCCCTGGCCGGGGCCGGGGAGAGGTTCGCGAGCGTGCTCGGCTGGGGCGGTGCTGCTGGTGGACTCCGGCCCACCTCGAGGGCTGGGGGAAGGTGGCACGTGCGGGGCAGGTCAGCGCAGAGCTAAGGGCACCCTCGGCCACACTCGTGGCGCAGGTGAGGCCGCGCTGGCGCTGGGCGAGGCCTTCCTGCTGGAGCACGTTTAGCTCGGGCCTGGGAAGCGCCCGCTGAGTTAAGCCCCGCACGCCCCCCACACCAGAGAAAGCTCCTTTTCCTCCCTGAGCTGGGGGATCCGGGCGTCACCTGGATTCTGGCCTCGCTCAGGCCTGTGTCCCGGGCGAGGGCCTCCCGCGCCCAGACGTCGGGGTACTGGCTGCCGGCGAAGGCTGACTCCAGCTGCTCCAGCTGCGCCGGGCTGAAGGTGGTGCGGTGGCGGCGGCGGGAGTGCGGGAGACCCCGCGGTCCTCCCTGTCGGGAAAGGGGGAGCCCCGGCCTCCCCGCGCCGGCCCCCCGCAGCCTGCTGCAGGGCCGAGCGCTCGGGTCTGGGTGGGGGGGCGAGGCGGTCAGGGGGCCGGGCCCGTCGCTGCCCCTGGTGAGCGGCTGTGTCCCGCCAGCGCTCCCTGCGCCCCACCCTGCTCGCCTGCTCCCACGGAAACACTTTCGCTTTTTTTTTTTTCCCGGGTCTGGGAATCGAACTCACGACCTCGCTTGTGCCAGGCAGGCGCTGTGCCACTGAGCTAAATCCCCAGCCCCTACTTTCGCTTTCGTACTCGCGACGCCGCACCCAGCTCAGCCTGCGTCTCCACTTTACCTCTTTGTCCCCTGAAGTCACCCCCCAAGCCCACTTCGCAGCCTGGGTGTCCATGCTTGCTCTCCAGAGGACGCGGCTCCCTGTTCCAGGCCCCTCCCCTCGGCCTTGCACCTCCCAGCTCCTGCGTGCCCGCCCCAAAGCCGGGTGGCTCTTCTGCCGCTTTCTGGATCCCCACTGGGGATGCGTATGTCCTCCTCTACAGCCCCTGCCCTCCTCCGTCTTCCCTGGCCGGCGAAGCATCCCCTGCCCTGCGCTGCTCTGCCCTCACACAGTCTCTCCTCACGTGCGTGCTTCGCGTCCCGTCCTCTACCCCTGCCCTGGCCGGGCCACCAGGCTGCAGGAACCTGAGCTCGTGGGAAAGGCTCGCCTCTCCTCCCGCAGGCTCCTCAGCCCCCACACTAATTAGTCTGAGAGCTGCTGCTGGGAGGGGGGGAGCAGGGTGGGCAGAGGAAACACCTGGGAAGGCGCACGCTGAGAAGAGGCGTCTGGAGCCCAGGCGCCTGTCCCCTTGGGGACCTGCGGTGTGGCTGCCACCCCTGCTCAGCGTCCACCCTGGGGACAGCCGTGCACTCTCCCTGGACCACAGCCCTGACCCTGCAGGACCGCCTCCGAGGAGCAGTGCGGGCTGCACTCTGAGCTAGGAGTGGAGGGAGAGCCGAGGGGAGTGCACTCTAGGGGCTCCGCTCCCAATCCCTAAAGCAAAGGGGCTACTGGGTATTTCCTGTGCTTCCCGAGGTCGCCCTGGTGTTACCGTGCTAAGATGTTTTTGCCTTGCTCGAGGTGAGCCACCCCCAGAGGAGATAAGACTCTGAGCCCCACACCCACGCCCCTCGGGGAACCCAGCCCACCTGGGCGCACTCACCTCCCGCGGAGGCCGGAGGCCCAGCTGCAGGGCACTGCTCAGGCCAGGGTCTCCCGCAGGCTCGCCCCTTCTTGTGCTTACCCTGCGGGCTTCTCTCTTCGGCCTCCATGCCTGACAGGAAGGCCACAGATGGTGCAGCCTCTGGTCACCTGGACCTCGGACTCCAGGCCAGTCTTTCTGTGTTTCTGTTTGTCGGTCCCTTCTATGATCTCTCACCTTCCCCCTCTGTGTCTCTGACCGTGGCGTGTGTGTGTGTGTGTGTGTGTGTGTGTGTGTGTGTGCAGGTGTGCAGATACAGGTATAGACAGCTCCCTGTCTTCTTCACTGTCTCTCCCTTTTTTCTAGTTTTTTCCCTAATTCCTCATTCCTTTGCTGGAGCATCTTCTTACTCTCACCCTTTCAACTTTCCCCGTTTCTGTCTTCTCTGCTCTTCCCTCTCTGTCCCTTTTCTCCGTCAGGTGCTTGCTCTTCCCTGCCAGCTGCCTGCTTTCCCACTCCGCCCCTCGCGGCAAGCCTTGCAGTCACCCTGGGCCCATCCAATCACTACCTGGTCACCAGAGCCTCTCGCTCAGGAGAGGATCTCGGGCCGGACGAGGGAAGGTGTTGGGCTGGAGGGTCCGGGGACTGGGGCCAAGAGCTCGGGTTCCCAGGGGACCAGGTTCTTTTGTCCTGTTAAATCCTCTCCTGGGAACATGCAGGGGAAGGAGAGGAAGCACATTCCTCCTAAGACTCCCCTCCTCAGGACCCCACTGTGGGAAGGGGGAAGAAAACGGGGACAAGTTGGGAGCCAGAAGCACAACCTTCCCGCCATTTCAGCATGTAGGCGACACCCTAGGACCTGTTTCCATGAAACTGAGAAACTGGAAGCCACAGAGCATGCTTTCCTCCCGGATACAGTGACCACTCAGACGTACCAGCGCCCGCCCCACTGGACTGAGTCCATAGGGTGCGATTGCAGGATCTGTAACTTCTCACATACCCTCGGATTTCCTTCCTCTAACACCATCTCCTCCTCCATCCAAAACCCCTAGGACACCATGACCTTTCAAGGTCACCCAGACCTTTAGGAAACCTGATTCTCAAAAGCATCTTAACTCCAGGTTTATCCTGACCCACCCAAACCTCAGGACTCACTCTGCAATAAACTGAGATTCCCAGAACATCCCAACAGATGTTCAGATTCTTCTAGGGCACCGGGACATACCCACAACCTGTGAACAGATGGGACAACTGTGTCCACAGTGCTGTCACAGAACCTGGAAGCATATCTGGCATCCCCAGGACACCCTGAGGCCCTAACCTTGATGCCCTCCAGGACACAATGAAACCTAAGGGCACTGTTATCCAGAACATTCCACCTCTGCAGGGCGATTCCTGCCCCCTTCTGTCAGGTGATGACACACTTCCCCCCAGAACAGCCTGACCCCTAAAGTCATGCTAACTCCTCACATACATCCTTCAAAAACACCCTGGCAGCTCAAGACAGGAAGCGTCCTCACCCTCTAGGTCTTGGATGCTTCTGGTTGGGTCCACAGGTCAGCAGTAGCACCACACAGGAGTCTGTTAGAAATTCAGATCTCAGGGCATACTTCCATCCTGCTGGATCTGCATTGTACTAAGATCCCCAGGAGAACCAAGTACATGTTTGTCTTAGTCAGGTTGGGATACTACAGACTGGGTGACTTAAACCACCCATGTTTGTTTCTCATGGTTTTGGAGCTATTTCAGGGGGTCCAAGATTAAGGGACCAGTCAGCTTCCTGGCTGGGGTGTCTCTTTCTGGCTTGTTAGTTGTCACCTTCTCACTGTATCACCCTGTGGTGAAGGGGGAACTGGCTTTGGGCTCTCTTTCCCTTTTTTAGGACAATAATCCCAGCATGGGACCTCATCCTTGAGACCTCATCGAAACCTAACTAACTCCCAAAGGCCCCCTTCCAATACCATCACAGCAGGGGTAATCGTCAACCTACCCATATGGCGAGAGGGAAACACAAGTACTTATTTCGTAACAACCTTAAAGTTGTAAAGTTGAGATCCAAAACACCGATCCAAGACACTGCCACCTCTCTCCCTACCCAGTAAGTACTGTGACTTCCCAAAGCTCCCTGAACGCTGTGGGTGCCCTTGACCGTGCAGTTGACTTGGGCCCGCAAGGAAACACCAAGTTGTAGTGCATCTGGCTGCCCCAAGATACTTGAATGCTACAGAAAAATTCTGACCATCCATCAGCATACCCCAACATTACAAAGAAACTCTGATCCTCCACCCGTGTTCCCTAAAGACATGAAGGCATTGTAAGTTCAGCATGCATCTTTGCATTCCAGAATTCCTCAAGACACTGGGATTTGTACAAACATATGCTATTCTAGGGCATACCAATTCCCATCCCCAACCCTGACCTTCAGAGAAACTTGACATTCAGAATCCTCTTATCCTAAGATAGAAAGATGTAGTCGGTAGGAGCCTTACGATCTAGAGTCAAACTGCCGTGAGTTCAAATCCCTGCAGTACCACTTAGGGCTTATGTGACTGTGGGCTTCCTGTTTAACATCTCTGTGTCTTAATTTCATCATGTGTGGTCACTAACACAGTCAGTTTTCTTTATTTGGGGTAGATATGTTTCACAAAGTGATCAGAAATGCTGAATTGGTGATAACTGAGTCACTGTTCCCAGGGCAATAGCCTCTTTAAACCAATCAATATTTAACCTAGTATTAGATATGTTTCTGTATTAGGTTTCATTTTGTTTGAATCAGCAGTATTTAAAATATAATGTTTAAATTATATTTAGCATTTAAAATACAATAACAACATTTAGAATATACTGTTGGTTCACTAATACCAAAATCAGGGCCAACAGCACTGTGACTCATGCCTGAACAAAGCACACAGATGGATTGTCTCTGTGAGCACATGACAGCCTGCCTGCTTGGGGAACTTGGATGGCATTTCACACTGCAGTTGGGGTCACTTCAAGCAGCAACATCATTGACAGAGCAGAAAGGAGAAAAGCATGATGCTGAGTAGGCCACCCGGAGGAGGTATAGAGCTGAAACCGGAAGGCAGCGCCTCACTTGTTTGTCCCCCTCAGGGAACGTGAGAACTCAGATTTCTGACTGCTCTGTGCATGACATGGCTGAAATGCGCACACACACATCACAGAGAACTACCAGAGAGTGTTGATTTGGAGGGCACAAGTAAGCAGTAAATGCATCAATGCAGAATTCATGAATAATGAGGATGGTCTACTTTCCCCATGAAGTTGTAAAATTTAGTTAATAAAAGACAAGCATATAGAACTGCACCTTGAACATGATGATGATGATGATGATGATGATGATGATGATTCACCCACCATCATTCTGGCACTTTCAGATCCTTAAATTTCTAGGACAAAAAAGGTACTTTCTCCCTCTCAAAGAACATGGGTCTTCGAGAAGTATTGACCTTACTACTGCATAGTCAGTGTGGTAGCTTGAACTACAGTGACTCTGTAACCCTCTCCTACACCAGACCACACGGATATGGTGGCATGTGGGAAACCCTGGCCTATAAAGAATTCCTGAACCTGGTAGAATGCTGTCTTAGTCACGTTCCTCACCTCTGAGACACAGTACCCCAAACCTGCAAATTGAAAGAGGAGAGGTTTATTTCTGCTGTTTCAAGAGACCCGGTCCTTGCATGATTGGCTGGCTCCAAGGCAGGACAGCATGGGACAGGGGCATGGCAGGGGGATAGCTCCCCACCTCGTGGCAGCCAGGAAGAAGAGCAAGAAAGGGGAAGCCAAGAGGGAGATAAACCCTTCCAGGCCATGCCCCCTATGACCACCTCCTCCAATCAGACTCCACCTGACAGCAGGTTGGTAGCACTGTCCCCAACCCCCAATCACTTTCCAAACACACGAGGATTTGTGGGTCATCTTAGATCCAAACCATAACAGATGTAGACCTTGAGAGGTATTGATCTCTTTGCCACTCTCTTTGCCAACCCAGAACCCTGAGTTGACCTTAGTCTTGCAAGGGGGAGGCTATCCCTGAAAAACTACTTAAACCCCCAGTCCCAGCCCAGGGCATAGCCTGACCACACAGCCTGACCCACAGGATGCTCTGACTGTAAGGTGTGTGTTGATCTTTCACACACTGTCCTTCCAAGGTACCTTAGTACATGGGACGTCTTGACCTAGGACATTTGAGCCTTTGTGCATTGTCTCTG